TGAACTTGACCAAATGAGAGTGTGACTAGCGAGAACACATGCACATGAGTAGTGGAACAACCAAGTATGAATCAGACATCACCAAATGCATGACCTTGACAAAGTGAGAGTGTGACTAGAGATAACATATGCACATGAGTAGTGGAACAGCCAAGTATGAATCGAACATCACCAAATGAATGAACTTGACGAAGTGAGAGTGTGACTAGAGAGAACACATGCACATGAATAGTGCAACAACCAAGTATGAATCGGACAATCACCAAATGCATGAACTGGACAAAATGAGAGTGTCATTAGTGAGAACACATGCACATAAGTAGTGGAATAGCCAAGTGTGAATCGGAGATCACCCAGTGCACGAACTTGACGAAATGAGAGGTGACTAGTGAGAACACATGCACATGAGTAGTGGAACAACCAAGTGTGAATCGTGCATCACCAAGTGCATGAACTTGACAAAATAAGAGTGTGACTAGTGAGAACACACGCACATAAGTAGTGGAACAGCCAAGTATGAATCGGACATCACCAAGTGTACGAACTTGACAAAATGAGAGTATGACTAGTGAGAACAAATGCACATGAGTCGTGGAACAGCCAAGCACGAATCGGACATCACCAAGTGCATGAACTTGACAAAATGAGAGTGTGACTAGTGAGAACACATGCACATAAGCAGTGGAATCGCCAAGTGTGAATTGGACATCACGAAGTGCATGAACTTGACAAAATGAGAGTGTAACTAGTGATAACACATGCACATGAGTAGTGGAACAACCAAGTATGAATCGGACATCACCAACTGCATGAACTTGACAAAATGAGAGTGTGATTAGTGAGAACACATGCACATGAGTAGTGGAACAACCAAGTATGAATCGGACATCACCAAGTGCATGAACTTGACAAAATGAGAGTGTGACTAGTGAGAACACATGCACATGAGTAGGGGAACAACTAAGTATGAATCGGAGATCACCAAGTGAGGGATGGGCCACACATGTGAGTGAGACTTGCTCAAACACATGCATAGGGCTCATGTAAGCAACCAAGAATAAAACGGAACATCATCATGTGAGAGACGAGTCACACATGTGAGTGAGACTTACCCAAACACATACATGGGGCTCATGTAAGCAACCAAGAATGAAACGGAACACCATCATGTGAGAGATGAGGCACACATGTGAGTGAGACTTGCTCAAACACCTGCATGGAGCTCATGTAAGCAACCAAGAATGAACGGAACATCATCATGTGAGAGATGAGCCACACACGTGAGTGTGACTTGCTCAAACATATGCATGGAGCTCATGTAAGCAACCAAGAATGAAACGAAACATCATCATGTGAGAGATGAGCCACAGATGTGAGTGAGACTTGCTCAAACACATGCATGAAGCTCATGTAAGCAACCAAGAATGAACAGAACATCATCATGTGAGAGATAAGCCACACACGTGAGTGAGACTTGCTCAAACACATGGATCAAGCTCATGTACGCAACCAAGGATGAAACGGAACATCATCATGTGAGAGATGAGCCACACATGTGAGTAAGATTTGCTCAAACACATGCATGAAGCTCATGTAGGCAGCCAAGAATGAAACGGAACATCATCGTGTGAGAGAACTGAGCAAAGTAATCGAAAAGGGTAATCAAAGCACTACTATAATTGAAAATCAAAGTTTCGATTTACTCCAAAGAGAGGAAATGGAGAGAAAGTTAGAGAAGAGTGAGTGAAGCTCACTCAAATGCATGAAATCACAAGGTGGGAAGTGGCGATTCGAATGGGAGTGAAGAAATGGACTAAACAAGAGAAACATTACCAAACTACTAGATCAAGCATAAACAAGAGTTGCGATTTGCTCCTAAGTGAAGAAATTGAGAGAAAGTGAGAGAAGGAGGTCACAGTAGGGACTTGCCTGTCCTTACTGTGCCAGTCCCAATAGGCCGGCACATTCTCCTCCACTCCTTCCTCCCCCTTTGTTTCATCCTCCCTCAATTTTCTCTCATTTTTTTTTTCTTTTTCTTTTATTTCTGATGTGACAAGTGTCAAGTGGTTGTTGAGCCTTTTTCTAGGCTATAGATCTTCATCCATGGTCAGATTCAGACTCAACAATTGACCGTTATGTCTCGGATTACAATAATGAAGCCCCCACACTCAAGGGGGGTTTCATTTTGTCTCCGTTAGTCTCAATTTTTAGCCCATTTTGCTCCGATGTTCTTTTGACAACCTTTTTCTGTGTTAAGCCCCTTGAGGCTCTATTTTCTTATGCCTAGCCAGTCCGAGATATCTCGGACTGCCACTAGTGGTGCTAATATTTTCCACCGTCTAGATCTTTGATCTCGACGGTGTCGTTTGCTTCGTGGATCATTTCTTACGTTGGTTGATGGTTCCCTTGGGACATCTCAAGTCCCCGCCACTTTCCTCGGTACTAGTTCCATTTTCCTTTCCCGTCGGTAATCCCGCCGGCGCTTGTCCCATTTTTCGGTTATTTTTATTTGGGCCCATTTAGTCCCCGGCATCGTCCTGGTAGAACTCCCATTTTTATTTTGGAACCTCCTAACCTTTGTAAGTTCCAATATCCCTTGCTCAAGTGCCTCATGTGTACCGATTATTCTTGGCCGCGAGATCTCATCTCACGTTTACCGTTTACCGTCTCTATTTGCCTCATGCCGAAATCACTCCTTTCTAGCCCTTTGGGCTTGTCATGGCTCATTTTTCCTTTGGCCTAGGTATCTTTATGCGGTCCATTATTTCTCGGACTGCAACTGTGGCCATTTTCCTAGTCCCATAGCCCCACAACTTTTAATGTTTTCCCTTCTCATGCAACGCTCAATTTTCAAGCGCATCCGGGCTCAATATTGGCCCCGGATGCACCTAAAACATGTGTTTTCCCTTCCCCATGCAGTCCGTTGTAACTCGGACTTGAATGGGGGTTAGTTTCCTCGCCCCATTGCCCCACAATTAGCCCACAACTGAAGGAAAAAGAAACGGTCAACTTTCAAGTGCATCTGGGCTCAATATTGGCTCTGGATGCACCTAAAACATGTGTTTCTCTTCCCCCATGCAATCCGTTGTATCTCGGTTGCATGGGGCTTTGATTTCTCTTGATTTTTCTTGATTTTTTATGCAAAATCAAGAGAAAATCAATGCCCTTTGCAACCGTTATATTCCAGAATGTATGACCGTTTTTTACCGTTAAGGCATTTTTCTCTTTTTTTTTTTTTTTTTTTCTTTTTCCTCCTTTCTTGGACATTAGGGATTTGCAAGTCCCTACTTGTGGCAATCCCTACTGATGGCCAACTCACTCATTCCCTCTCACTCTTTTTGTCTTATTCTCCTACATTTTTCTTTTCTTTTCTTTCTTTTTCTAGCACGCCAATTGTCAATTGGCCGTTAAGGCCCTTTTTTAGGCCCTTCCTCTTAGTTTTGACCCTCCCTATACCCATGGTGCAGTCCGTTAGATCTTAGACTACAATAATGGTTTCCTCATGTCCATGGGAGCTTCCTTTTACCTCTATTTCTCTCAGACAGTAACCCCTCTTACTCCGATTTTTTCCCGGAGGCCTATTTTTCACACGGAGTCTCTTTTGACTCCATTTTCTTGAGGGAGGTTGATCCGAGATTTTTCGGATTGCTCCCATGCCTCCCTCTTCATGTTTCTTACTTTTTCTTTTCCTTTTGGCCTTCCCGTTTGCTACCACTAGTGCTTGCACTAGTGGCGCTACTATTTTTGGCCATCTTGACGGTGTCGTTTGTTTTAATTGTTTTCCCCTCATGCCGCTCCGCTGTTTCTTTTAAGACCTTCTCATGTCCCCGCCGCTTGTCCCGTCGGTGGTCCCCGACACGTTGTCCCGCCGGTGGTCCCCAACACTTTGTCCCGCCAGTGGTCCCCGACACTTTGTCCCGCCGGTGGTCACGACACTTTGTCCCACCGGTGGTCCTCGACACTTTTTGTCCCGGATACCATTATTTTTACTTAGTTTCACGTGGTCCCAGGTGCCTTTCCTCAAGGTGTCCCATGTTCTTTTGGCGTCTACCGCCCTATGGTGACCCCTTTCCCTTGCCCTTTTCTCGGGCCTTGCGTGCCCCGGTTTCTCCGGTTGCGGGGCCTCCAATCCGTGGTTTTCGTTAATTGTCATAGGCGGCCCCCATGTTGGGCCCTTATTTTCTAGCGTCCCGCGGCCACCAGGGCTATCCACCTCTCGGCTTCCCTATTCTTTTGTCATCTGCCGTGTCACGGTTGCTAAGTTAATGGCCCCTCGGGTCCTTGTCATGCTGAGTTCATATGGCCCTCCTGGCCCCATGCTACCGTCCCTTACTTGCTTGTCGTTGCCAGTTCTTTCTCCCTGCGGTACTCAGCCCAGGGCATCACTCCTTTCTGCAGGCCCGTCCATCCTCCTTCTTCGCCCCTTTGAGGAGGGTCTCTTCCTTCCTTCAGAAGGTGCTTCCTGGACATGGAGTTTAGACTTCAAATTGCGGGTTGCTTTGCCAAAGGACCGCCAGTCCTTATGGCCATGAGAAAACAAAGCAAGCTGGTATTCCCCAGGCGTTGCTCTTAAGAAATGAATGAGCTGATCTTGCTCACTCATCTTCAACCCAAGAGTCGATGTAAGGCTCGCAAAGGTGGAGTACAACTTGGACAAGGAGCCGTCCCAGTTTTTCTGGCCCAGGCGGACAATTCTGTCAGCTGCCTTCCTAGCCTGCTCCTTGTCTGCAAACCAATCATTCATGGTCTGTAGGAATCCAGACACCCACAGTTTTTGCGCCCACTCAAACATTTCCAGTCCTTGATTGTTGGAAGTGGAGGTGCACCATTTCAGTGCAGTCCTCTCCAAGCGAGCAAGGATGGCACTCACCCTCACATCCTCATCACATTTGAACCCACTCAGGTAGGTTCGTTGTGCACTGGCCCAGTCTGAGACATCATGGGTGGAGGTGTCAGCTTGGGCCACTGCTGATTAAATGGACCCGAGGGTTGTGAAGCAGTTGTTGACTTGGGTGTAGAGGCTGGGGATGGAGGTTTGGATTGTGGGGGTTACTGGGGTCCCGCTTTAGGACCTCCAGAAGATGGAGGAATGATCAGGGTAGGTGGGATCTGCAAATGAGTGAAGAGGCGATCCAGTTTGCAGGAGATGTCATCCAACTTTTTGGAGTGCTCTGACAGGCTATCCTCCAGGCTGGTGATCTTCGCATCCCAGTTAGTAAGGTAGAACCGGTGAATATAATCCCGCAAAAGGACGAATTCAACCATGTCCTTACTGTACTGACGGGAAGATCCACTTACTCTGATCTTCTCAATGTATGCCCCCAATTCTGTTCTTCTAGTCTCCTTTTGGTTTGCCTCCTCTTTGCTCTTCAACTCTTCCTTCGGAGCCTCAACTGTTGCTGCCTGCTTCCGGAGTTTTTCGTCCTCAACAAGCAGTTCAACCTCTAAAGGGGAGAGAGGAAACTGAGGCCTCACCTCAGAAGCTTCACCCTCCTCTGTGCCAGACCTCTTGCAATACCCACAAAACAGACAAAAATAAAATAAAAATCAAATAAGAGACAGAAAGGGAAGTCAACAGTAATTGGGTTTTCCCTCCAGTACTTGCCCAATCGCTGTCACCTGGCCGAAGGTAATTGCTCAGTCACTGCAGACTGCTTGAGGGTCAGGGGTCAGTTTAGAGTGAACTCAACAAAAATCAATTTCACGATTTTCCATTCACTACCCTGACACATCAATTGAGTGCAATTACTGCAAATCTTGTATTAATCATTTTCAGGATGTAGTCTTGGACTCATTAGTAGTAGATAGTAATTAGACAGAGTGACTATTAGTGACTGAACGGTAGCTACAAATGACCAAGATGCAACGATTTACTGAGTGTGCTATTTTTAGACGTCCCCTACTGACTTTACCACTTAAGGACCCGGTATGCCATCCTAGGGTATGGCGGATTACAAATTTCACTGTAATTGACTCAGAACCTCAAATCTGACAGTGAGATTTCAGACACGACTAAATACTGCATTGTGATTTACCAGGGAATGACAGAACTGAATTCTGACGGACAGAACCAAAGTTATGACCATCCGTAGTCTGACCAAGCTCCAGCTATGGCAACGCAGAATTCAAATTTCCATGATCACTTACAGTATGACCCTGAACAATCCAATTCACAGTACAATATGAATCGCAACTCTGTAAAGCAGTCACAGATGAAGATGGAGTCAGAGAGAGGGTCAAACAGGGTTAGTAGAAGTCAAAGAAAATAGGTAGGGGAAATTGGCTATGGCTGTCTGACAATCTGAATTTCAATTTTCAACTGTCTACTGACTGACAGGCCAAATTTCGCTAATAAAAAAATAGCCCTAGAATCTCCACACGGGGTAGAGTAAGGAACACACTTACTTCAGGGACCTCTCAGAAGTGGATGAATGAAACCTTGGCTATAGCTGTCTCCTGAGACCCATCTTGCCAGTTTCTTCTCATGACAGTTCCCAGTGTTCCCACATACAGAATCCTCTGACACTTGGTGATCCTGTAGATCTTCCTATTGCGCTTCACCCCTCACTGACAAATTCAGTGAATTTGGACTCCCAGCTGCCGATTACTGAGGTACTAAGTGCAACGCTACTCCAATCAGCCATGCGCTGCTTGGGACTTGAGAATCGAACCCAATCCCAAAATCGCAACACCCCAGGGGTCACCTTCTTGCAAATCGTCAGTCTCAGATGAATCGCCAGGCTAAAAATAGCCACGTTAGAGTCTCCCAGGCCTCTGAGAACCAATCGCCACTCACTCCTCTACCACCCTGGGCAGCAGTGAATCACCTTTTGTCCAATACCTCTCGCCACACACTTACCACCACCACCCTTACTGTCACCAGCACAGAAGATGATAAATCGCCATGAAGTTCAACTCCAGTTTCTCGCCAAATGGTGGTAGTTGCTCCAACTCATCAATTACTCCACTGACTGGATCCAATGGCTCCGATACCAACTGTTATGAACCTGTTTGTTTGTTGTCTGAAGACCAGCACTCACTCACATAGACTTCCAAGTATGCCCATACATACACAGAAGGAAGGGGAGAGGATGGGAGTATCACACTGCACAGGGAGATAGAAACACAGCGAAAGACTTAACCATGCGATATGACAGAGTGCACTGAAAGGGCGATTCACTCCACAGAGTCCTCGCAACCAGTCACAAAGGAAAGCCGAGTAGATCACATCCAGAAAACAATGAAGCAAAGATAGTTTAGACACAGTATCGACACTATTTATTAAACTCAGAGTCTCGATTTGTCAAAATAACCCCAGAACTGTGTTGCGCTGCTCAGAAATGAGCAGCACTTCTTTCCCCAACCCTGAATAACCGCTATCACTACCCCTGAGCCCCTTAAACAACCATCGCCACCCAGATACTGCCTCCAGAGGAAAACGCCACCGTGAAACAGGCCTCTGAGGCCAAGCGCCTCTCAGAGGATGAAGAAGAAGACCAGCGCCACAGTCTCTGATGATGATGAAGGGCCAGAAGACTTCCCGGATGGAAATCTGTAGCAGCGCCACCTCTCCTGACAAAGATGATCTCTGAGCGCCACTCCCTGATACCCTACTCCTGAAGAGGGTTCAGTAGGGCACCAACTTCTCTTGCCTCCAGCAGACTTCAACTAGCCCGGACCTCTGAACAGCCCCGCGTGCTGTCAGAGAACAGCGCAGGTCCCAGCTATGGCGGACGCTTCGCAGGTCCGGCTATGTCTGTCTCTCCCAACGCTGAAACTGTCACCACTTCCAGTTCATGCGCTGCGCCGTTGCGATGTGCATGGTACCAACTGCCAAAAAGCCTCGAACAATTTTCCCTAAACCTATTTATAGTGTACCGTAGCCTATACACGACCTAGACCGGACTGATAGGACTGACCGGTACCGTTTCCGTTCGGCCTCTAGGGCCTCTCCCTACCCGGCCATAGGCTATAGGACCATCTAGCAGCATAGGCCCGTAGACCCTTCTGTCCTAGTGGTAGCCCGGGTCTGCTATTCGCAGTTAGGGTAGCTGTAGGAAATTCGAGTTAGTGCGGGCCTGAAATTCTACGAATTTACAGATATGTCCCTCACGAATTTTCCTCACAGTCAAATCTCTCGGTTAGCCCTCAGCCAAACAAAATAGCAAAACTAACCTCTCTATGTTACAGCCTCGGGTCAACGGGTCACAGGCTGCAGAATCAGCAAGTCATTGCACAGTTGCAGTATCATGCTTAGCCTGTCTGGATGGAGTGAGTGACAGTATAGTCAAAACTGGGGGGCCTTTTCGACCAAATGTGGCGGGGTATGTGTGTGTGTGTGTGTGAGAGAGAGAGAGA